GGCTGATCTGTGTTCAGAGCTTCAAAGCAGCAGAATCTTCCATAGCTTACTACAAACCAGCACATGCCACAGTGAGACCTACCCTTGGAGCAAGTGAAACCAGTAGGTGATCTTTCTTGGTCTGTGGACTGGCCACCAAGTGCTACCCATGGGGTACAAGCTCTGAGAGATTGATTGCCTGTAGGTGTTCAGAGTTTGGATAGGTTCCCAGCACCACATAGGGTCTGGTAGCATGCCATTGTGTCATATTCAGCCACCTCCCACATGGGACTGAAGTCTCATGTGACTGGAGGGAGAGAGGAACCCTTGCAGATCATATCACTAGCACACACCCCCTCTCACATATAAGGCAGGACTGCAATTCTGATGTGGGCCTGACACTGTTAGAGTAGACAAGTTAGACTAGGAAAACTTTAGGACCGTAGGAAAGTTCCAAACCTATTGATGTCTGCAACAGGTGGTGCAAAACCTTGCATACAAGCAAGATGGCCAAGCTATAGAAAACTTCACACCTACCTAACTGCTAGACTTATCAGATACACCCGCAGCACAATAGTTCATCTATCCAGGATGCTTGCAGTCGGGAGGCGATCACCAAGACAGGAACTGGCTTAGAGACCAACTGGAGCATGAGCATCAATAGCCAGGGTTGATCCACAATGATCATGACCTACTTTTGCCGTCATTATAATATTATTAACATAAAATTATCCTGGGGGAGCCACCCACTTCCATCATATACCTGACACCATGACAGTACCAGTACGACCCTATAAGGCCTAAAACTCCCCCACCCGACATGGAGGAGTAACAGTAACCCAGCTCAAAAGACCACTCATTTCTAAGAAAAAATCACCACAGAACACACCCCTCAGTACCCCTAAGAATGCAAATTATAGCTCAACTATAGTTATGTGCAGAAGCAACAACTTCTGTAGTCTGTTTCTGCCCATTCTCCCCTCCTGAGAATGTACTATTCTTTGCTTAATAAAGCTACCTGCTTGTCTTGATACTTTGTGTGTCTGTTTGTGAATTCTTTCCAAACATGAACGCAAAAACCTGGTCATCAACATCAACCCATCATTCCACACTGGGAACTGCACCCCTTCTCCTATTAGTAGCACCTGGTGAGGATGGGGCCTTCTGTGGGATGTGGGGTGCATTCTCCATCTCAGCCTGCCTAAACTGCTGGGTGTCACTGGCTTCTGGGACTTTCCTCATCTGCTCTGCACAAGAGGTGCCAGTTGGCTACTACTGGATGGCCGTCTTGGATCACTTCCCCCTTTTTTCCTATTTAGATGCCTTTGGTTTCTTTCTCTTGCCTTATTGTTCTGTCTGGGGCTTTATACTATGTTAAATAGGAGTAATGATGATGATGATGATGATGATGATGATGATGATGATTTGTTTCACTCTGTCACCCAGGCCAGAGTGTCATGATCGCAGATTACTATAACCTCAAGCTCCTGGGATCAAGTGATCCTCCTGCTTCAACCTCCCAAGTAGCTGGAACTACAGGCTTGTACCACCATTTCTAGCTAATTAAAAAAAAATTTTTTTTTGTAGAGATGGGAGTCTTGCTATGTTGCCCTGGCTGTCTCAAACTCCTGGCCTCAAGTGATCCTCCTGTCTAGGACTGCCAAAATGTTGGGATTACAGGCATGAGCCACCACACCAAGGGCTTTCTATTGACTGGACTGGAGCATGGGTTTTAGAATCAAAGTAACTGTCACTGAACTGCATGAGTCCCAATTCTACCACCAGTTATCTGAGGAATACCAAAGTATTTTGTTCTTGCTGAGGGAGTCAGAGAAGTCAGCACATTTGGGCCACTGTCTTGCTTGAAGATGGCCTATACCAGGGTTGGGGCAGGAGCTGGGTCTGACCACTGGAGGGGAAAAGTAGAAAGAGAAGAGGGAGTAGCAGGAGTGGGAAGGGTACCCAGCGGCAGATCTTCTTCAAGTTAACTTGCCCCATGATGTTCTAGAGCAAAAGAGCAGAGCCTAAGAGAGGCAGGTCTACTTGGAGGGAGCACATCCTGCCTCAGCCAAAACTTTGTGATGTGACACACAAGTGACAAGTCAGAGGCAGCGGGTAGCGGGGAGAGAGAGAGCGAGAGAGAGAGAAAGAGAAAGACTGACTCAGTGAATGCGGGACCTGGTGGGCACAGTGAGTCTGCTCAGTAGTAAAGTTGTCCTCACTGGAATCTGTCCCAATTACATTTTCGTGGAGAAAAAAATAAGCCAAGGGGTGGTGGAAGAAGGCTGAAAACCAATTCTACCTACATTTTTCATTATTTGGTCATGAAACACATATGTCCTGGGACACCTTTTAATAGCCCGAAGAAGTCGGATTCAGTGAAATGTAATTTGAAAAATACTGCTCGAGACCACTGGGCCCCTCTGGCCCCTAAATCTTCACCTGTTTCTGCTCTCTGCTTACTTCAGGTCCTGGAATCTACACATCCCTGGGCTCCCAGCTACCTCTCTGTCTCTCCCATTGTTCTACCTAGAGTTATGATCCCTGGTTTTAGTTCATGTCCTGCTTTCATTCTTTCTTTGCTCCAATTTATCTTTAACTTTATACCTATATCTTTTCAGTACTTTGAAAAGTCACTTTAAGTCCTTTCAAAAATGATGACTGAGTGAGAACATCATTATGTACAAACCTAAGATGTCGCTGAATGCTCATCTCGCCCTCATGATCTAGATAATCTATGCTCCAATCCTCTTGGCCCATCTCAACAGAAGTCTTCTCTTTTTTTTTTTTTTGAGGTGAAGTCTCACTCTGTCACCCAGACTGGAGTGCAGTGGCATGCTCCCGGCCACCACAGCCTCAACCTACTGGGCACCAGTGATCCTTCTACCTCAGCCTTCCAAGTAGCTGGAACCACAGGTGCGCACTACCACACCCAGCTAATTTTTTTGATTTATTGTAGAGATGAGGTCTCGCCAAGTTGCCCAGGCGGGTCTTGAACCCGTGGGCTCAGGCAATTCACTCACCTCGGCCTCCCAAATCGCGGGATTACAGGATGAGCCACCGAGCCTGGCAACAGAAGCCTTCTTCACATCCACAATCTTCTGTCTGGAAATCTCTTTAACGAGATCATTAAGTTTGTCAGGTACACTTTATATTTCCACATTACCGCAGGTGAGAGTTTTACAGAACTTTCCGCCACTACATAACAAGGATCTCCTTTCCTCCAGCTTCCATGAGTGCGCATTTTTCTCACTTTTCTATAAGTCCCATTGGTAGCAACCTGGGGACCTTTTAGGCTTCCACGTACACTGCTCAATCCCACAGACAATACTGCATGTTTTCTGTTTTTGTTATGACAGCATCCTACTTCAAAATCTGTTCTAGTTATCCTACTATGAAAAAACAAACATAAACACACACCCCAAAGTAGTGAGCTGAAACAACAAAAGGCATATTTTATTTTGCATTGCATCTGTGGTTTGGGCAGAGTTCATGGGAGATGACTTGTGTCTGCTTTGGATGGGCATCTCCTGATGCAACTTGACTGGGGCTGGAGGATCTACTTCATTTTTTTTTTTGAGTCAGAGTCTCACTCTGTCGTCCTGGCTGAAGTGCAGTGGCACACTCACGGTCATCACAGCCTCAGCCTGCTGGGCTTAGTGTTCCTTCCGCCTCAACCTTCCAGGTAGCTGGAACTACAGGCATGTGCCTCCATACCTGGCTAATTTTTAAATTTATTGTAGAAATGAGGTCTTGCTAAGTTGTCCAGGCTGATCTCGAACCCCTGGGCTCAGGCAGTTCACTCGCCTCTGCCTCCCAAAGTGCTGGGATTATAGGCATGAACCACTGCACTCCAACCTGGCCCAGATCTACTTCTGACATGGTGCATCACATGGCTGGTTGTCTGGCTGATGCTGGCCCATAACTTAAGGCAGTGCCACTTCTGCTATATTCTATTGGTCAAGCAGTCACAGACTCCAGATTCAAGGAAAAAGGACCTAGACTCCACCTCTTAATGGGAAGAGTGTCAAAGAATCCTGGGAGCATGTTTTAAAAGCCTCATACCTGCACTACCATTGAAAGGTTAGCTATTTTTGCCAACTTGGCTCCTGCCTCTGGCCCCAGTGGCCCAGAGATTTTTTCTTTCCTTCCTGGCTGCTTTATAAAAATTCTAAGAACATATCCTGCCCCGCCCTCTGCCCCCACTTTATAATGTATAATATTTCAGCTCCCTTCAATCTGATATCAATGCATGGGGTTTAACTTGTCTGGTCAAGATGCCAATGTGCCCAGCTAACTCAAAGGCCTAAGAGAAGCTTGGAAGTTTCTGTCTTTTCCTTTCCCCTGCCATCACAGTCTGTGCTAGGGAAGGAGACAAAATAGAGGTTTACTTCTCTTTAATATAAACTATGTTACTATTATAGATACTTCAATCAACTTTTTTTTTAAGTAGAAGTCTCACTCTGTTTCCCAGGCTGGAGTGCAGTGGCATGCTCTTGGCCACTGCAGCCTTGACATGCTGAGCTCAGATGATCCTTCTGCCTCAGCCTTCCAAGTAGCTGAAAACACAGGCGCGCACCAACAAGCCCAGCTATTTTTTTTTGGATTTATTGTAGAAGCGAGATCTCACCAAGTTGCACAGGCGGGTCTCGAACTCCCGGACTCAGGCAATCCTCTCGCTTCCGCCTTCCAAAGTGCTGGGATTACAGGCATGCGCCACTATACCTGGCTAACTTCAATCAATTTTGGTCAAATAGGCTTTGTTCCCCTCTTTCCTTTGCATAAATACATGGTCTTGCAACTTCTATAGGCTCCATGGAGCTGGCCTCCTGTTCCTACTTCGTGGTTTGTACCTTCCCTGGATTGACTCTGCAAATCCTTCTCTTCAATTCCCTGCTGTCATATTCCCATGAGAGTTGAGAAACAAAGATTGAAAAAGGAGACTAAAAATAGCTGTCACACAGTTTTCACAAATACAAAAACATCCACAAACACTTTCACTTCCCTTTTTTACTTTCTAGGTGAGTCAGTTCAGACTTCTTGTTCTGGCCGTAGGGAGCCATGTTGTGAAGCCCAATCTGGGCGTGGGTAAGCACAGATGTTTCCTGATAGTGAGTCATCCATTCTTGGGCTTCTGTGGCCTACAAAGTAGCAGGACCAGGAGGGCAGCAGGTGGAGGTAGCAAATGAACAGAGGATTACTCTTTGTCTTCCTTCGTTTGTCATCACAATGTGGGTTTTTATATTTATTTACTTATACCCAGTTTCATTCTAAAACTACTTTAAACTGGGTTCCAAAAACAATTACATATTGCAAAGTAGGAAAAACTAAGCTATAAAATCAGGTTAAAAGTGGCAAATTATGGCCAGGCACGGTAGCTCACACCTATAATCCTAGCACTTTGGGAGGCCAAGGTGAGAGGATTGCCTGAGTCCACGGGTTCGAGACCAGCCTGGGCAACACAGTGAGACCTCGTCTCTACAATAAATCAAAAAATTAGTCAAGCGTGGTAGTACACGCCCATGGTTCCAGATACTTGGAAGGCTGAGGTGGAAGGATCACCTGACCCTAACAGGTCAAGGCTGCAGTGGCCATGAGCATGCCACTGTACTCCAGCCTGGTCGACAGAGTGAGACTCCAACTCAAAAAAAAAAAAAAAAAAAAAAGTGGCAAATTAAAGCTTCTGGTAAGATGCTACCAACCCTGACTTATTCAATTGCAAATGTTACCTAGGTGGAATAAAAACAAATCCTAAGGTTCTTTTTATCAGTTTTGTTTCATTTCTCTTAGTGTAGACCTAGGAGTCTAGTTGCTGGGCTATAGGGTAGCTTTAGTAGCCATTGCCAGTTTTCCAAAGTAAGGACATTAATTTTCACTTCATTGGCAATGTGTGAGTGTTCCAATTACTATATTCTTCTCAACATTTGATGTTGTTAGTTTAAAAAGATTTCTTTCAGCCATTTTTGTGGATATCTAGTGGTATCTCATTGAGATTTTACTTTGCATTTCTCTGATAAGCAATGCTTTGAGCACCATTTCATATGCTTATTGGTCATTTGGACATCCTCTTTCATGAGATGCTTTCTATTTTGCCTATTTTAAAAAAATTGTGGATAATATTCTAGGAGTTCTCTCTCTATATTCTACATGTGAGTATTCTTTCGGATATATGTGTTACCAATATCTTTGCACATTCTATGACTTTTCTTTTCACTCTTTTAAAGTGTATTTTGATGAATAAAAGTTTTTAATTTTAAGTAAGTCTAATAGATCAATAATTTATTTTATGGTCAATATATTTGGGGTCTTGTGTAAGAAATCTTTGCCTGTCTCAAACCAAGAAGATATTATCCTACATAGTCTAGAAGCTTTATTATTTTTATCTTTTATATTTAGGTCTATGATTCACTTAAATTAATTTTTGTGTATGGCATGAGGTAAGGTGTTCAATTGCTCCAACACCATTTCATGAAAGGACCATCCTTTTATCATTGAATGTAATGTGTTTGTTGTAAATTTGGTGACCATATGTGTGTCTGTTTCTGCACTCTCTATTGATTTATATGCTTATCTTTATACCCATATAATGTTGTCTTGATTACTATAACTTTATATGAAGTTAAGCATAGTGATTCTTTTATAAGGCTCTCTCAGCTAATATTGGTCCTTTTCATTTTCATTTATGTTTTAGAATCAGTTTGTTACAAAAAAATCAGATTTTCCACAAAAATTTGTTCTGCATTTTATTAAAATTATATTGAATCTATAGGTCAGTTGGTGAGAACTTACATCTTAATATTTAATCTTCAATCCACAAACATACTTATTTTGACTTTCTTTATCTCCGTAAGAGTTTTGTGTTCTTGCTTATCTTTTGTTAGATTTATTTTTATTGTTGATGGTTTTTTATGCTTCTGAAACTGATATTAGTTTTCTTTTCTTTTCTTTTTTTTTTTTTGAGTAACGTTCTCACTTTGTTGCCCAGGCTGGAGTGTAGTGGCACAGTCATGGCTCACCACAGCCTTGAACTCAAGTTCAAGTGATCCTCCCATCTCAGCCTCCCAAGAAGCTAGGGCTACAGGTGCATGCCACCATACCTGGCTAACTTCTCAATTTTTTTTGTAGAGACGAGGTATTGCTATTTTGTCCAGGTTGGTCTCGACATCCTGGGCTCAAGCAAGCCTTCTGCCTCAGTCTCCCAAAGTGCTAACTAAGATTACAGGCATGAGCCACCATGCCCAGCCTAGTTTTCTATTTTTATTTCAACTTGCCATTTGCTAGTATTTAGAAATACAGTCGATTTTTGTGTATTAACCATGAATCCAGTTCTAAATCTTACTAAAATTACTAATCAATGCCCATAGTTTATCAATTCTTTTACATTTTCTAAGTATATGGTCATCTGCAAATAATGGTTGTTATATTTCTTCCATTTTTAGCTTTATACTTTTTATTTCTTTTCCTCAGCTTATTGCATTGGCTAGAATTTCTAGTAAGTTTTAAATGGAAATAGAGATGGTAGGCATGTTTGTCTTATTCTCAGATTAGTGAGAAAATATTTACTATTTCATATTTAAGTATAATGTTAACCATAGGGTTTTGTTTGTTTATGTTTTATTGGATTAAAACCGTTACTTTCTTTTTTTTTTTTTTTCGTTACTTTCTATTCTTAGTTTTCTGAGAGTTTAAAAAAAACCATGAATAGATGTTGGATTTTATCAAATGCTTTTTCTAGATCTATTGAAATTATTATATGATTTTCTTATTTATTTATCAATGTGGTGATATAAATTCCCTGATTTTTAAATGTTAAATAATTCTTGCACTTCTGGACTAAGTCATAGTTAGTCATGATGCATTATTGTTTTTTTTGCCTGTGGCTGGATTTGACTTGCTAATGTTTGGTTGCAGTTTTCTCATCTTTGTCCCTGAGAGATAGTGACCTGAACTCTTCATTTTTGTAATGTCTTTGTCAGGTTTTTGTACCGAGATTAGGCTGTTCTTCTGCAAATTGAGGTGTATTCTGTTTTTCTTTATTCACTAAAAGCATTTGTGTAAGATTGGTAATATCCTCTCCTAAATGTATGTTTTGAAAAATTTATAAGTGATCTGAGTCTGTAGTTTTTCGGCTGGGAAAGGTATCTTGAAAACTTGATGTTTATTTTCCCATTGTATTTTTTTCTTCAGGATGTTTGCAATGGTTCAGAAGGAGATCTTTTTCAATCATTTCAAGGAAAATAAAGTGGAGATAGCAAGTGCCATAACAAAGCTATTTCCCTTCCTCGAAAGCCTCAGAGACCACTCCTTTATCACTGATAAAATGTATACTGTAAGTAAAGTTTATTATATCACCTTGTCATAATCTAGCCCCACATTGATTTATGCTTGGCATCTTGGATTCAAAATTTAATATATTATTAACTGCCTGAAAGGCCTGTGAATGCCTTTCATGGGAAGGCCCTTTTCTGTTAGTTAATGATAAGGTACAAGGTGACAGGGCCAACAGATGTCATTAAAGATACTTCTATTTCTAGTTGAAATCCTTCTCTTTTGTAGCAAGTGTTGAGGTGGGAGTGAATGGTAATGGTGAGATGGCTGGAGTGAAACTCATATGCTCTGCAAATGCACAGTGGTTTATACATCATACGACAATAAAATAAAAACAAAATTAAGATAAAAGAATGGGAGCAGTATTTCATTGTAATGTCCACTTATGTCAGATGAAATCCCTTGGGGATCTGTGGCATGATAAAACAAATTTCTGCCTTGCTATTGTCTCCTCTAAAGTGTTTAAATTTTGTTAGGTGGTTTTGGAGCCTTAAAGATCAAGTAAATTTGATCAGTGGGCCTTTCTAGAAATACAGAGAAGGAAGCCATCTCTTCAGTGTGTGATTGTGCTCTTACCTTTGTATACTTTATAGCAAGGACAGAACCGTCTCCCTACTTCCTGGAACCTGTTCAGGATTTCTCATACCTGGGTGGAGAAAGAGGGAGGGGAGCGTGTGGAGGCAGTGATTGCTGTGTAATCAATAGAATTGCTGTCAGATTAATTCCTGAAACATCCTAGGCAGGATGAGAACTCAAAAGCCAAGAGGAAGAGTTTACTTGCTTTTTAAAGCAGTTGACAAAATATTTACAGTTTTAAAATATTTCATGAAAAATAGTCTGTCTCAGGGGCCCCAACCCACAGGCCATGGACTGGTACTTGCCTGTGGCCTATTAGGAACCAGGCAGCATAACAGGAGGTGAGCAGTGGGTGAGTGAGCAAAGCTTCAGCTGTATTTACAGCCACTCCTTATTGCCTGCATTACCACCTGAGCCCCACCTCCTGTCAGGTCAGCAGTGGCATTAGATTCTTATAGGAGCATGGAGCCTACCGTGACTTGCACAAGTGAGGGATCTAGGTTGCATGCTCCTTATGAGATTCTATTGCCTGATGATCTGAAGTGAGCTGAGGCAGTAATGTTAATGCTGGGGAGCTGCTGCAAATACAGATTAACATTAGCAGTAAGGTTTTACTGTACACCCCACACCCCGCCAACTCCCCTTCCACGGAAAAGTTGTCTTCCACAAAATTGGTCCTTGATGCCAAAAAGGTTGGGAACTACTGGTCTGCCTGCACTGAAAAAATAGAACAAGTATTCTATACAGTTACTTCCTAGATCTCTGTTTGACTTTGAAGCTATTATTTTGTATACTTTCTTTATTGAACTTTTAAAAAGGATTCTCAAGAAGCCTGTGGACACTTGGTTCCTGTACAGAAAGTGGTGTACCATGTTCTTTGCCACCTTGAGAAGACTTTTGATTCTTCACTTTTACAAGTCATGTTCAGCAGGATTAACCTGAAGGAGTATCCTGATTTAATTGAGATTTATAAAAGCTTCAAAAATGGTAATCAGTTCTCTCCCCTCTCTCCTGGGATCTAGGTCTACTTTTCATTCATTCATTTGCTTAGTCACTCATTTAACAAGTATTCATGAAATGCTTACATGTCCAAGGGCTTTTGCTAGGTGGTGTGAATATAACTAACCTGGTGCCCTAGCTTGTCCTCGTTGGCAGTCTCTGGAGTCCCTGGTCAAGGTACGTCAGGATGTCCTCCAGTGCCACAATATTCAGTTTGTACAATATTCAACTTGTAGCTTGCAGAGATTCCTTCCCTTTTTCCTTGGGTCTGGACCCCCTCCCCTGCTGGGGAAGTCTGTGTAGTTCTTCCCCAGTATCCTTTGTCTTTGGGGACTGCCCATATTTTCTGACTCAGTTTGGCTAAAGATTCCTTTTCTTTAGACTTTAAGGCTGTTGGGCTTTCTCTTTCATCTACTGGAATCGCTCTAGGATTTTAGCTCTTCTGAGGAAATTCTTTTATTTCTTCCCTAAGTACACAGAGACAGTCACCTCATACTATTTATATTGACATAAACTTTCACTCTGCTCTGATCATCCTGCTGGTTGATTTATTACTGTTTACAATTTTCTACAGCTCAGTCATCCTTAAAATGTAAGAGACTCGTTACCTATAGGATTTTAGTGTTTTTGTATTTTGTATTTTTCTTTCTCAGGCTGTCCCAGAGGAAGGAACAAGCAATACCCGGTCACAAATCACTGAGATTCAGAGTAACCCAAGGGCTAGGAGTGCCCCACTGAATTATAAAAAACCACAGATGTTCTATTTGTGTAATCATGAGGTGGTGTCTCCGATCACTTGCCTGCAGGCTCTAATTAATTTTTAAAATCTGTTTAGTGCAACATTTTTACCAGAAAAGTGATGGAGAAGAAACACAAAAAATGCGTAACATTCACCCCGGCTGTGAACAAGGTAATTATGACAGGATAAAAGCTTTATTTTCTGGTCTACTAAGAGGAAGAGGAGACAGAGAACTGAGCTCTGAAGGGAAGACTACACTACCAGGGAAGGAATGCCAGAAGATTGTGAGGAAGGTAGATGAGTGTCACCTTCTGTTGATTCCAAAATGATCTAACTCCAGGTGGAATTCAAGAGCACTCTCAGGAGGCCACACAGAGAAACTTTATGTTCAATAACCTGGAGGTTGGAATAAGAAACTGAGTGTGAATTAGGAGTTTCCGTAGGAGACCTTCAGTAGGAAGCTGTGAAGGGCCGATGGTCAATAATGTCAAAGAGGAGACACTTTCTGATGGCAGAAGGGGCCAGTTTAAATGTGGGGAATGTTGTTCAGGAGCAGGAATATTCCAAGAGAAAGACAGTAATTTAGGAGAAATGGAGAGGAAGTGGTGCAGATGTGGAGAAAAGGATGTTGGTACTTTGAGAGAGAGAGAGGCAGGAGGGGAAATGAAAGAGGGAAAAGGATAAAGGAGAACATTAAAAACAACCCTAGCCGGGCTCGGTGGCTCAGCTTGTAATCCTGTGCTTTGGGAGGCTGAGGTGAGTGGATTGCCTGAGCCTGCGGGTTCGAGACCAGCCTGGGCAACTTGGCAAGACCTCATCTCTACAATAAATCAAAAAATTAGCCGGGCCTGGTAGCGCACACCTGTAGTTCCAGCTACTTGGAAGGCTGAGGCCGAAGGATCGCTGGAGCCCAGTAGGTCGAGGCTGCGGTGGCTGGGAGTGTACCTGCACTCCAGTCTGGGCCACGGAGTGAGACTCCAACTCAAAAAACAAAGCAAAACAAAACAAAACAACCCTATTACTAACAGCTCACTCTGAGTTAATATCTATTCTGCATCAGTTGTATTTAGTGTTCACGGCTGCCGCTGGAGATTAGTATTACTTATGTGTCGATCTGGTAGATAAGGAAACTAAAATCCAGAAAGACTATATGTGAGTCATATGAGCAAGGACAAACCCAGGTGTTCTGAACCCAGAGCCTACATTTTTTTCTTGGGGAGGAAGAAGAGATAAAATTCATGTAATATAAAATTAACCATCTTAAAGTGTGCAACTCAGTGACATTTACTATATTCACAATGTTGTGTAACCATCACCTCTATCTAGTTTCAAAAAATTTTAATCAGTCTAAAAAGACACACCATACCCATTAAGCAATCACCCCATAATCCTCTTTCTCTAATCCCTGGCAACCAGTAATCTATTTTATGTCTCTATGTATTTACCTATTCTGGACAGTTCATAAAAATAGAATCATACAATATATAGCCTTTTGTGTCTGGTTTCTTTCACTTAACAAAATGTTTTCAAAGTTTATCCATGTGGTAGCTTAAATCAGGCCTCAATTCTTTTCGGTGGCCAAATAATATTCCATTGCATGTATATATTACATTTCATTTCTTCATTCATCTGTTGATAATGGGTTGTTTCCATCTTTGGGCTGTTGTGACAGAACTTACATTCATTGCTACCCAGGAAAAGACAGAAACATGGAACAAAAATGTGGAAATATCTGCAGAGAAAAATATATAGAAAATAAAGAATAGCAAGAGTTGGAGGTGAATCAGACACTGAATTCTCATGGAAAGGTCAACAAAAAAGAGTGAACAGATGTGCAGAGGGATATTGTGGTGTAAAAGGGAGTGGGGCCTAAGCGCCCAGAAATTTTTAGGAACTAAGCTAAGACCACTGGGCAGTATAGGGACAAAGGAAGGTTCACGTTGGCTGGGGCTGTCAAGACAAGCCTTTGCCAGTTACCAGCGTTCCTCATAGAGGACAGTCAGGCAGGTGGCATGGCCAAGACCTGCTCAGCCAGGGTGCAGTTGACCCATCTCCCACTCTCGGGACTGGAGTCTGACTTCAAGAATCAAGTGGGATCTGTCAGCTCCATTGGGCTCTGCATTGAGACTGGGTAGGGTGGGGTAGTCTTTAACTCCTACATCATAAAGACTGAAAAAGGGATTAAGGGAGAATGATAAATTATATCTCAGTTTATTAAATAAACTTCTAATTTCTTCCCCCCAGGAACTGGAGAAAACCCTTTTACAAGCCTGACCTGGTTATGCTCCAATTCCTCATTTAACATCGGTCTGTTTCTATTGACTCTTTGTGATCTTTTTGCTCTCTTATTCCATTCTGGAATGTGCTGTGGGGGCTGCCTCATTGTGTTAATGATTACCCAGAATTTTCAGTCTTTGTATCTGCAACTTTCCCAATTTTGGGATTCAAATAGCAGGTTCTCATCCTCAGGGTTGCCTAGGAGTGTTTCTTCTTCCCATACCCCTTCAGCACACTTGCTGCCAGTTGCTGCTGGCTCTGGGCTGGGATGATTTACCCCTGTGCCTGGCTTCCCAGTTTTCTGCCTGTGTCTGCTTCAATCTGGCTACTGCATTGGTGCTTTGATCTTACATCCAGTGGAGGCCCATGCTGTGGTGGTTGGAGGGAAGTGATGAGCAGCATGGGACAAATAAAATACCTGTGAATCAAAATGTGGTTCAGGTACACCCTCACATGAAAATGAACTCTCAGAGCAACTCTGTGAAAAAGAACAGATAAATGCAAAGAGAGAAGATACAACCAGTGGCAAAAATGATGCACTAGGAAGCCAACAAGCAAATACACAATGTGCCTCACAATCTGAGCCAGCAGGTAAGTGACTGACTGGATTTGCACAAGTGTGGAAGGGCCGAGGGCCCCTGGCTGGCGACAGAGGAATGGATGAATGTACAATACAAGATGATATCTATTTAACAAAAAAGGGGAAAATCACACAGACACAGAGAGGACAGGAATGGAGTCTGATAATCATACCTGATGAGAGCGATATGGAGGATGAAAGATAGAAAGCAGAAACTGAGGGGCAATGAATAAAGGGTGGCAGAGCCTCACAGGGAAGAGAGACAGACATAAGACAAAAGACAAAGTCAGAGAGAGATTGGCCATGGAAACAATGAAGCAGAAACACTTTCATGGGGTGGAGGCAGCAATATGCAGATAGAGCTATAAGTAGAAACATGAGAAGAAAAGAGAAGCTGGGTGAGGTGTAACAAAATGTTTCGAAATAGGGCAAAGCAAGGCCTCATTGGGTCTCAGCTGTAATCTCTTTCATCTTCAGAGTCCTGTGAACAAGTAGCTGTCCAAGTGAATAATGGAGATGCAAGAAAGGAGATGCCCAGCCCATTGCCTTGTGATGAAGAAAGTAATTAATTCTTACCTTGGAAGTTTGGAAAGACCTAAAAAACTCCAAGTTATAATCTGTTTTATTGGTGTTGTTCAGCATGTCACTGGCTTATATGCCAACTATTTCAAACATAATTTTGGAAATAACTTTTTGTATCTTTACAACGTCTATACGTGGTAGGCAGAATAACTGGCATTATCCTTGTTTTATAGATGGGGAAACATAAACATGTAGATGTTTAAAGGTCTTTTACAATGTCACATGGATAATTAAAGGCAGAGCCAGCACCAGAATCCTAGATGCCTGAATCTCAATTTATGAATGTATCTTTCCCTAAGACAGAAGAGTGGAAAATAATAAGTAAACATATTTGCGGTGTTAGTTGTTATAGGATTTATGGTTGTTATTAACCAGTAACTGTTTCTCTTCCATGGATTTTATGAACAAAATTTGGAACTACACAGTATAATGTCAAGTAAGACAACTCAATGTAAAAACGTAAGCTTTTTTCTTACAAAAGACTTCTTTTGCTATATTTTTCACAAGTTAAAAAATGTTTTAAAATGTATTTATTTATTTATTTTTTGGTTTTGTTTTTTTTTTTTTTGAGTTGGAGTCTCACTCTGTTGCCCAGACTGGAGTGCAGTGGCTGCTCCCGGCCACCGCAGCATCGACCTGCTGGGCTCCGGCGATCCTTCCGCCTCAGCCTTCCAAGTAGCTGGAACTACAGGCGTGCGCTACCACGCCCGACTCATTTTGATTTATTGTAGAGATGAAGTCTCGCCAAGTTGCCCAGGCGGGTCTCGAACCCGCAGGCTCAGGCAATCCACTCACCTCAGCCTCCCAAAGGCACGGGATTAGAGGCTGAGCCACCGAGCCCGGCTAAAAATGTATTTTTAAAGGAGAATTTCTGTCATCTGTTTTTAATAGATGTATACTGTCCTGAGCATTAGAGGTCTATTTGTTATATATGGAAATCTTCCAAACAAGTTCTGGGTTGACATGGGAGGTTGAGTGGGATGGAGAGCAAGGAGGGAGGAGGAGAGGGCTCTGATCCACACAACCATTCAGGGATCCATCTTCAATCATTGCCCTGGGCAAGAAACAGAACCAGAAGAAATGTGTGTGATTTTTGACAGCAAGGTTTCTTAGTGAGTAAGAAAGCAGGATTCATTCAAAGTAGGGGTTTGTTATAACACTTTATAGTGACAGCAAATTCTTAGGAGAAATACTGTTTCCTATTAACTTTACAAATGACATTCTTTGTTATTCCAGGCTCACGAATAGCAGGACAGATTTTTACTTTTTATTTTCTCATTTTACTTTCTATTTTTCACTGAGCATATAGTGGCTTATCAAAGGATTTTGAGAAAAAAAACTCATTTTAACTTGACAACAATTGTGACAGGTAGGCAGAATAGATTGATAACTTTGATTCATACATGAGGAAACCAAAGCACACACGTGTTTAAGGCCCGCCCTGCTTCTCTTTTCACAATGCCAAATAGAGAATTAAAAGAAGAGTTTGAATTACCATCCCTGATTTCTAGATCTCATTTCCATAGGTGTTATTTTCCTCAGAAAGGTAGAGACAGAGAGAGAGAAATGATGATCACCACATCATTTTGTATGATTTAAATTCTGAGTGTAAATTATGTGAAATGTCAAGATTAGCCACTTTTTAAAGTACACATTTCTGTTTTCCTCTCATTGCTTTATAGATCCCATGAATACTGGGACCACTTCTACTCTGAAGATGCATACTAGGAAAAGAGGTATGTTCAAATCAGGATTTTTGGTGTACAAATGAACTTTAAAAATTTCTACAAAATATTCAATCCAGTTGTTTGTGAAATCATTCACGAGTAAAATAATACATTTTAAAGAGTTCAGATTAATTTTTTTTTTATTAGAGTAGGCTATGTCATACTAAATAGAGCCTGAACGTTTGTAATTGCTAAAATAAATAGAAGTTGATTCTTGCTTATGGGACAATCTATGGCGTTCTAGGTTATGAGTGGGATTGGGGGAAGTGGAGGGAGAGAGTATAGGGTGTTGTGTCCCCCAAAGTTATTCAAAGACCTAGGATGCTGGAGGCTCTACTATCTTCAATATGTATCTTCCAAGATGACACTGGGTGAAAAACAGAATAAGAGTCAGACGAGATGGGTAGAAACAAGTAGGAAGGGTGAGAGGCAGAGCAACAGTGAGGTAGAAAATGGCAAGTGAGATGACAAAGCAGAACTGTCCATTGTGGGCAAAGTTTTTTCTATCTTTGGCAATAGCACTGCAGCCACATTAACCTCTGCAGGTGAGATGCATCTGAGAGTCACACCTGAGTGGCCTCAAGTGAGCCTGGTCTCTACCCTTGAGTTCCTGGACCTTCCCAGGTTGTCCGTAGTATTCTTATGTGATTTCTTTTGGTGTGGGCTTTTTGGGAATCCACTAAGACCTCCAAGGTGTTTCATTTCTTGGTTCAGAGGTCAGTAAGGGTTACTCTTTGCATGTGAGTGGTAGAGAAATGTCCCAGGAAGCCTCTAGCTCAGCACCAAGAAGTGGTTTGGGTAAGGACGATGCCAAATGGTCACCAACAGGAGCTTGAAATCTCCTGATTAGTTTTACTCTGATTGCAATTCATATTATCTGGGTGCCGGTTTTCTGCTATTGTAACAGAATACCTGAGACTAGGTAATTTATAAAGAAAAGACATGTTCTGGAGGCTGGGAGGTCCAATATCAAGATGCTGGTGAGGGCCTTCTTTCTGTGTGTCATCCCTTGGCAGAAGGTGAAAAGTGAAAAGAGCATGAGAGATGGAGGGAAAGAGTGTTGAACTCATCCTTTTATCAGAAACCCACTCTCCAGATAACTAACCTATTTCTGAGATAACCACATTAATCCATTTATGAAAGCAGAGTCCTCATGAAATGATCGCCTCTTAAAGACCTAGGATGCTGGAGGCTCTACTATCTTCAATATGTATCTTCCAAGATGACACTGGGTGAAAAACAGAATAAGAGTCAGAAGAGATGGGTAGAAACAAGTAGGAAGGGTGAGAGGCAGAGCAACAGTGAGGTATAGGAAAATGGCAAGTGAGATGACAAAGCAGAACTGTCCATTGTGGGCAAAGTTTTTTCTATCTGTTGCATTGGGATTCAGCTTTCAACACACAAACTGTAGGGGATACATTCAAATATAGCACTAGATATTTGAAGAAATGATGATAAACTATACATAATTTTAGACTCATGTTTAGCCAGATAAGTTCTATTGTCATTGAGTCACAAACTTGAAAAGGTCTTAAAACACAACTATTTAGAATTGACAGAAGGAATGTTTCAGATAAATCACTTTCAGACATATATAATAGTTTTGATACATATTATTAGTTTATATAATGATTTTAAAAATAATTTTTCTCTTTGTTTTGCCTTTAAAAAACTTTTTATAGAAGTGTGACATATATGATAAAAGGGATACGCACAATAAGCATACAGATTATCACAAAATGAACAACCTGTGTGATTATTACAGAAGTCAAGAAATAGAATGTTACTAATCACCACAGAAGCCATTTTATGACCCTCTTAATCCCTAGATTCACCTTTCACTCAAAGACAAACACTATCCTGACTCTTAACTACAGAATCCAGCAACAACATGGATGAATCTCACAAATGAAGTTTAAGTGAAAGAAATCAGGCATACACGATTACTTTTTATAAATTCCATGTATATAATGTTCAACAGAAAAATTCATCTTTCATTGAAGTTTAGAATAAAAATTCACCAAAGTTTTTTTTTTTTTTTTTAAGTTGGAGTCTCACTCTGTCACCTAGGAGGGAGGGCAGTGGCATGCTCTTGGCCACCGCAGCCTCGACCTGCTGGACTCAGGTGATCCTTCCGCCTCAGCCTTCCAAGTAGCTGGAACTACAGGGACACACCACCATGCCCGGCTAATTTTTTTTTAATTATAGAGATGAGATCTTGCCAAGTTACCCAGGCTGGTCTTGAACCTGTGGGATCAGGCAATCCTGTCACTTTGGCCTCCCAAAGTGTTTGGATTATAGGCGTGAGCCACTGTGCCTGGCCAATGTTTTTAACCATTCTACTGTTGATAGACCTCTGGGATTTTTCCAGTGTTGAGATGGAATAGTGCTACTATGAATATTCTTGATCATCTGCATTCCTATTGATTATATTGCTAGTATAAGTACAATTTTAATAGATTATGCCAAACAGTTTTCCAGTGTGATTGCATGAGTACACATTTCTGCTGCTAGTTTATAAAAAGTTCCCATTTCTTCATGTCCTTGACAACATTTGGTATTGTCTGTTTTTTTTAAAAAAGTCAGTTTAGTAGATGTGCTGTGATATTTCATTGTGGCTTTAGTTTGTATTTCCCTATTTGCTAATGAGATTGAGCACTTCTATAGGTTTAAACTGACTATTTGGATATCCTCTTTTGTGAAGTATCTGTTCAAATATCTTTATTTTCGGGGTTGACTGATTTTTTTTAGTTGAATTATTAGAGTCCTTTATATATCCTGGTTATGAGTTCTAGGTTGGATTAATATATTTCAGCAATCTTTGTCCACTATTTAACTTGCATTTTCTTGTTCTTACTGGCTTCCCTGGGTGAATAAAAGTTCCTAATTTTAGTACTGTCCAGGGCATGCATTTTTTTTTTTAATTTTATGGTTAGTGCTTTTTAGGTCCTCGTTTGGAAATCTTTCCCTAATCAGAGCTTATGAAAATATTATTTTATATTATCTGCTATAAACGCTATTTTTTATCTTTTATATTTTAATCTACAATCCACTTGAAATTGGTTGATGTGGAGTAGACGGTCTAGATTTTTTTCTCTCAAGATTTATTAGATGCAGGTATCCACATAACTTAATCCTGTCTCTGCCACACTGTTTTGCAGTGCTGCCTTTGTCAAAAATCAAATCCCAATGTGTGTGAATCTTTTCTTTCCACTGGCTTTTTTTCCTATCTTTGAGACAATACTACTTAATTAAAGTAGCTTTATAAAAGTCTTGATATCTTGTAGAGTAAGTCCTCCAATTTTGTTCACTTTTTTCAAATTGTTCTTTACATTTCTTTGTATTTTCATATACATATCAAAATCAGCTGGTCAATTTCCACAGAAATGTTGTTGATATTTCAAATGTCAACATTGAATGATCTGTTTCTGTAGATGATTTTGAAAATAATTGAAAATATTCATCTTCTTTTTTTTTTCCCCCTCTCTCTTTTTTGATGGAGTATCACTCTGTCACCCAGACTGGAGTGCAATGGCTGCTCCCGGCCACCGCAGCCTCGCCCTGCTGGGCTCCGGTGATCCTTCCGCCTCAGCCTTCCAAGTAGCTGGAACTACAGGTGTGCGCTACCACGCCCGGCTAATGTTTTATTTATTGTAGAGATGAGGTCTTACCAAATTACCCAAGTGGGTCTTGGACCCGCGGGCTCAGGCAATTCATTCACCTCGGCCTCCCAAAGTGCGGGATTACAGGCTGAGCCACCGAACCTGGCCAATATTCATCTTCTAATCCATGAGCACAGTGCCTCCTATTTATTCAGGCCTACTTTAATTTTTCTTAATAATGTTTTATAACTCTCTGTGTAGACTTTTACACATTATTTATTAATTTTTTTTACCTCATATTCTCTTCAATGGTATGGCAAAGGGTATATTTTAACTTTTTTTTTTTTTGAGCTGGAGTCTCACTCCATCGCCCAGGCTGGAGTGCAGTGGCACGCTCCCGGCCACCCCAGCATCCATCTGCTGGGCTCAGGCGATCCTTCTGCCTCAGCCTTCCAAGTAGCCAGCACTACAGGCGCATGCTACCACACCCGGCTAATTTTTGATTTATTGTAGAGATGAGATCTTGCCAAGTTGCCCGGGCTGGTTTTGGACCCCTGGATTCAGGCAATCCTCTCCCCTCAGCCTCCCAAAGTGCTGGGATTACAGGCTTGAGTCACCATGCCCAGCCTTATTTTAACATTTCATGCCATAACTGTTGTTAGTATGTAAAATGATTTTTATTTTAACTTGACACAGATTTAGAAAACCTGCTAAACTACTTATTAGTTTTAATAACTTCTAAGTAAGTTGTCTTGGATTTTATATGTATACAATTATGCTATCTGTAAAAAATGTTTCATTTCTTTCTTTACTATTCCTTTACCATATATTTCTTTCCTTTGAATTTTCCATTGACAAAAACTTCTCATTTTTGAGGTCTTTGTTGAGTAAAAGGGGTCATAGCAGCACTTTGTCCTGATCTCAACTTCATAGGAAAGCTGTCAACTTTTCATCATTAAGTGTGAGGTATGTTGTAGGTATTTTATGAAGGCCCTTTACTAAATTAAGAAAGTCTCCTCTAATTCCTAATTTGCTAATTTAAAAAATTATGAATCAATATTTATTTTTTATCAAATGTTTTTCTGAATCTATTTGAATGCTAAACCAATCTTGCATTTTTAGTTTGTTCTTAAGAATTATACTTTTTAATATATTACTGGCTTTATTTTGGAGAGTTTTACAATCATATCCATGATGAGATACTTGTTTGAAAACATTAGGTTCTTGTTTTGACCTCCTTAGAGGTTGAAATAATGATTATACTGGTCTCACAAAAAAGTCAGGAGTTATTTCTTCTGTTTCTATTCTCTGGAAGTGTTTGATATTGTTTGGTGTAGTATCTTCCTTAAATGCATACTAAAACATACCAGAGAAACCATCTGAGCCTGAAAATTTTTTTGAAGAAAG